TTTAATTCTTCAAAGTAAAAATGTCTAACAAATTTATTTTGGGCAAATTAAACATATCTTTGTTAGTCGTTCCAGCTTAAGATAACACAATATAATTGACGTTTATCGAAATGCATTGAAACTACAAAACGGCTTTTACCAGTTTTCGGAAACTGCTGTGGCCAAATCGGTGTGAAAGCATTGCTTAGTGTGAAACAGCTATCGTCCTGACGGAATCCGAAGATTCAGGTAGAGTGTTGATGATAAGGCTTGATTTTTTTTCTTACAATTTCAAACAACTAAGGGTTTTTCGAAGACAAGTCTTGTTAACAGAGAAGACAAATATCGATGCATAAATGAGAAGAAATATCATGATGCGAACTGTTTTGATCCTGCTAGTGATCAGCACGTGAATGTGAAAGCTTGGATCACCTCAAACATAGGTTGAAAGAAAGGTTGATCTCTCGAAAACACAATTAGTTGTAGATGAATAATCAAAGATTTTGGTCAAAAAGCCACCGTATGTTGAGAGGCAATACCGTAATCATGGAAATTTTCAAAAGATCAGATTTATATTAAAAAACTCAAATTTAATTTGTTGAGCAGAGGGTTTATCAATGATAACAACTGATAGCGCTTCAAACTTTTGAATAGAAAGTTCTTGCAACAACCAGTTTGAACCTAATTAGAAGATCCTGAGAACAGTTGGCCAGATTTTAGTATCAAATTAAAAGTTATTTAATTGCATATTCTTTTAATGGAAAATCAAAAAATTTGGATGCTCAAATTATAACTCCGAACTCATATCAAGTTATGAGTTTGTATCCATAATTTGTCTTAGTTTGTGTTCAGTCTTTCCCGATTGAATTTGCTCTAATTTGAATAACTGCTTTCCTTGAAAGTCGCAAATAAGTTTTCACCTGCTGTATTCGATGGTCACTCTGTTTTATCGTATATATTGGCAAACAATTAACAGTTTTCCCCCAGTTACTAGGTCCGCTTTGATGAATATTTTCAAAAATTCGGTTAGCACAATAAAGTTAATAGGAAGTACTAAACGTTTTCTAGAAGCCCCGAAAATTGTTTCCTTTTTTATATGCAAGTCTTAGAAATGGCTGCAGCAAAATTAATGGGATTTTTAGGTTTTCATCAGTGTTCTCGTTTTTCAAGATCTTTAGCCACTTCAACCTATTAGCTCTTTCAACCTTTCTATAAAATCAAAGCTTTTGTCATAAATTTCAGACGTTTTTTTAGTCTCCTGTAGACACGGAAAATGGAAATGTCGAAATTTTCAAGCCAATTTCATTATTTTAGAGTTTTCAGTGTTTCGTAATTTTTCTGTGTTTTTTAGCTTTTTTGGCTTTAAGTAATTTTTCATTCCCATTTCGGTCAAATTGATCATTAATTTTTACCTAAATAGAGGTGGCGTCCGCCGCAATTGACGAATTTTCCTTTCTTCGAGATTCAGCAATAAAACAAGCATTTTTGAAGGAAATCGTTCACCGCAGCCAACAGTTAAGCTACGCTGCCAAAATCTGGTGCTTTCCTATATACCATATAGTTTGGTTGCATTAGGTTCAACTGATTGCATATAATAGGTATATAACGTCATTTTACATGAATACAAGCCAATACCCCCAAACTTTAGAAGGGAAAACATGCACCGACCAAAACTTAATTCCATTCCCGTTTCCACAACGTTCAGTGGGATTACTCAATAATATACCGAAGTTTTACATGAGGACTATTAGGTATAAAATTAGACATGCTGACAATTAGGATTATTACATAGTGACCATTAGGTATAAAATTATACATGGTGACAATTAGGATTATTACATAGTGACCATTGCTGATCATTTAATACATGGTGACCATTATGATTTATGCCTAATGGTCATCCATGTATGACAACCCCCCCCCCCATCCTAACGCACTATATGCATACTACTAGTATTATTTGGGGTTTTGATCACTATGAATTAAGATAATTGCAAGCGAAGAAGCTAATTAACATTTTTTGTAGGTTTTATGCCACAAAAGAAGAACAAGTTGTGAATTATCAGAACAATTTTTCAAGGGATTCGCTGTGGTTGCTGTTGGAAAAAGTTTGTTAAGAGTCGATGAACTTAGTGAAGACTTTTATAAAGGCCTTGATGATTTTTATAATTGTTTTTTTTTCAGGGTTTGGCTTGTGATTTCTTTTCAAGTTCGGTTCATTTAGTTTGTTCATTAATAACTTCCTATTTCGAAAATGGCTTTTAATTTTCAGATGTCCCGGCGGAATAAAAATTTTAATATTGATCCAATTTTCTCAAATTGAGTAATTTTATCAGCATAAACTGTTTTTGAAATTCAAAGATCTTTAAGGCACAATATTTTTAATTCTGAATTTGGCAAATAAATTTATTTTTTCGTCGTAGGAGGAGCAAACTTCGATGAAGATATTTTAAAATGTGGTGGAAAAATTTTCATCTTTGAAACTGAAACAGTCAATTTTTTGACAAATTTTTATTTTTGGCGTTTGATTTTGATCCCAGAGGTGTCTACTCAAGTTTTGTGGCTGTTTGGCTGCTCGGTAAAATGATGCTAAAAGTATATGACTGCTCTTTGTTGTGTTTCTTGAATGTTTTTCTGAAATTGAACTTTACTTTTTCAAATAGTTTTTTTTTCGACCGGGTATTTTTGTCTCGATCTCTTTTCGCTAGCTTTCAATGCTACACTTGCGTATTGCAAGTGATGCAAACCTCCGCCTTGCCTCAGTCTCTAATTCAAGTCCTAAATTCGCGGACGCCTCAATGGCCTTGATTGAACTTTTACGTGGAAGACCTAAGGGGGCTTCGTGCACGTTACAGTTAGAAAGTGTGGAAGAAAGAACCGGATCTTCTGAAACCCTCTTTAGTAGAATCCTGTTTGTCAGTCAATAACTGTTTTTTTTTCAACAAATATTCAGACTGGGCCTTCGTGATGGCGGTTTGAAAGCTCTCTGACTGTACCTTCGGGAATACTGGAGCCGTAAAGAAGTATACTTGATGATTGTTGAAGGCCTTGATGATTCGAAAGTGGCTAGTTCTGACAGTGATATTTGTAATAGTAAGAACTGTCTGGTATAAACAAAACTCTGAAGTTGAGTGCAAAGGCCGGACATAGTTTTGAGACTTTTAGTTGTCGAGCGTAGAACGAATTAAGGCCTACAAATTGTTGAATGGCTAGACTAATAAGTATCGGTACTGGACGATCAAAATTCGTTGATTTGATAACTTCTTGTTTTTCGGTAGAGGTTAGACTTGAGGAGTTTCATCACGGTACCACAAATATAGACTTTTTTCGGGTTAGCAACTTGTTTATCAGAATCACTTGGTATCTTGATTAATTTTGAATTGGAATTTCTAAGCGTCTCCGGCAAACTTAGTCAGGAGGTAACGAACTGGGACGACTGGTATAGCAAAAGTCCTGGGTTCGAGTCTAAGCAGGACCTTTTTTTAAGCGGGAAATTTTTCAAAAAATTTCGTTCGGCCTGTAGTTTGTCTGCTTATGTTTTGTCGGCTTAGTTGCCACAGCTTAGAAATTTATGTTTGCAGTTTTCATAGTAGTTGTTTTTTTTTTGTTTTCCTTTACTCCTGCAATATGCTTGAATTCGTATATATATTTTTTTTCATAAAAACTTTTCAGGGTAATTGATTTCGGCTTTTGTTTTTTGGCTTACTTTCCTAATTTTGGTTCGTTGGAGGGAACCATAGTTAGCATGCTTTACCATGTTCAAAATTTTTCATGACAAGATTTATTTTCTCTTGACAACTGTTTTTGATTTTTCATTAAAAGCTATCGAATGAGTTTTTTATTTGTGGTTTCCTTTCCTGTCTGCTAGCTTGCAATGATTTTTTGTGATAGCGCCTTGCCTCAAAACAGACATTTTAAAGAACAAAAAAACTGTCGGCCAAAAAAAAGTGATCTTTCAGAAGACTATAAATAGGTTTCTATGGGTTTTAAATTTTTCCAGTGTTTTCCTTGATGTTTCAATTCTTGCCTGTATATTAACGCGTATGCGGAGATTTAAGGCGTCATAGAAATCGTTCCAAATTGGTTGAAGGAAGCTTATTTGCCATAATTGATATATTACTAGGAGCGAAATTTATCACTTTGTACTTAATATGGCGTGTGGGGGTATGATTTTCACAAAATTTTTCCTTCTTTTTGTTACTTTTTATTTTTTCATGTTATTACTGCTCCATAGACTGCTCTATAAATTGAGGCATGTTAGTTGGTAAATTTCTTTTTTTTTTCAAATTGACTGGTACTGCTAATGCGTCATAATTCGCGTGTGTCACTTAAGAAGTTTTGTGTAGACTCAAAGTATTACGCATTCATTTTTTCCCAGTAGCGTTATCGGTCATATTTTTGCTTTTGTATTTGTTCCGAGTTTCGATACGAAAGTAACGGAATATTTGTGCTCGGGGTGGGTGTTTTTTTCTTCAGACAAATTTCGACTTTTGAACTAGCCATTTTTGACGGAATTTTTTAATATCATTCAAAAGGTATTGTTGTCCTGAGTTCAAATTTGAAAAGATATTTCCCCTGTGATCATTTTTTGTAAAGTTATGCGGGTTTAGAGATTTTGGCCAATTTGGGACTACTAATTCAAAATTTAAGAAAAAAAATCATTAAGTTTTTTTTAAATGTTATTACTGCTCCATAAAACCTTAAAAGGCAGTCGGAACATTCAGGGCTTCGCCCTGATACGAGCAGTCTTGTTTTGCTTTGCGTTAATTATGTATTTTTTGCGTAATTCTTGATAAATTAAAAAAGCGAATTTGACCAACTTTTGGGGTAAAATTTTGAATGATAATTTCAGAGAAAAAATTGCACCATATTAATTCTGTTGAAACTCTAAGCACATTTTATTCTTCACTTTTTGTCTAATTTCAACCCTATTTGAGGTAGAAGTGTTTGAATTTACCAATGTTGATTGTTGTCCGGTTGATTTAAATCTGCTCTGTATACATCGCAAATTACTATTTTAGGTGTGAGAGATGCAGTGCTGATGTTCTTTTTGTCAACGACAATGTAGCTTCTCCTGGATGCGACTGTACGACGGTAGCTGATATTGGAGTTTGTCTACCCACAAACCCAATTGTGACTGTGAACCAACCAGACTACGTTATCGACTACTCTGCCACTGAATCTCAAGAGTCGATTTATTTGGAGCAGAATTTGGAGGCTCGGTTCTACAAGTGCTCGGTTCGTTTCCATTTGTCAGTCCAATAAGTTATTCGCTTTAAGGTATGTATGGTAAAATAGATAATGTTGAATGATGATAGAGTAAGTCAAATAAATTTAGCATTGATTTAAGTGATAAGTGCAAAATCCGTGGATTATTGGACAGACCAGTGACTTTGCACTGATTTAAGTGATAAGTTTGCGCGCCCTGTTTTATCAAAAAATTTTCCATATGAACTTTAAAGCTTTTAACTCTTTTACTTTTTCTTTAGGAATACATTGACATTGAATCGTGTCAAGCACTGGCAAACCTGTGTGCCATGAGTTTATACAAGACAAAAGAAAACATTGAAGTGCCCTGTAGCATGCTGCAAATTCTTTTGGACCGACCAGTTTTGGTTGCAAATGCTGCGTGAGTAGATTACAATTGTCGGTGGTGGCAGTTAAAACATGCTTTGAGCTTATTTTCAGTATGCTGAGTTAGTGAGAAGTGTACGGTCTCTTTAATATTATGTGAAATGTAAGCTAAGATGGCGACCCCTGCGAACTTGAGGGGGGGGGGGGGGGGGGGTTGTAAGTCTGAATGGACTCCACTGGATTTTAGTCCCGATAAAATAGTTCATTCAACGCAATTGAATTGCCTGCATTAAATTACTATAAATTTATGCCAATTTTAATTTAAAGAGTCGATGAACAAAGTGAATTGGTCGTGATAATTTTTTTCTTTTCGCTTTTTTTCAGGAGAACTTTTTAAATTTGTTCTGGCTCAAATGTACTTTTTGGCGGATTGACTTCTAATTTCGAAAATGGTTTTAAATTATTACGCTTGCGATTAGCAAGCGTTATCAAATCGGAATGTAGACTTTTTTTGGATTAACAACTAGTTTAACAAAATCAGTTAAATCACATGTTCAAGTTCAAGTAGCATTGGTCAAATAGGCGATTTTGATGATGCTAGGGTACCATACGTAGGGTACCATATAGGCGATTTTGATAATGCTAGGGGACTTAAACTTTTTAAAAAATTTTACAGAATCAGATTTTTTCGGCTCATCTGGTGTCTGCTCAAAGGTCGTCAGTCTTGTTAGCGCTTCGTAAGTTATTTTCAATGGCTAATTTGAATTTCTTGGATGGCATGTTTGCCTGGAATTCATCTTTGATAAAAACAGTTATACGAAAATCTAAAATTTTGATTTAATTGAATAGAACGGATTTAAAGCTCCCGCTACGAGCGGCTACGACCAAACTTTTTTAAACAAAAATTTATGGTCCTCGGAAAAGTGGAATTTAAGATTTTTTGACCGTTCGTTGAATCTTTTTGATTTTTCTCGAAAGCTCACCTCCCAAACTTGAGGTTGTGGGTTCAACGGAGATAACTGGTAATGAGAGTCTCCCCTGCATAAACGGCCTCTCACGTTTTCTTAGCACAAAAGCTATCGTCCTCGGAAAAGTCGATTTTTTTTAGTGTTTTTTTTCTAATTTTCGCCCAAGTTTTCTCATAATATATGGCAATCGAGAAACTAAAATTTTTGCGTCTTTTGACCGTTGATTGAAACTTTTGACTTTTCTTTAGAACTACTCTGCCAAACTTTGGGTTTTTGGGTTCAATCGGAAATATTAACTTCCTGATTTATTGACTGTTTTTTGGACTCTTCTCGATAACTATCATGCAAAATCTATTATCATAGGTTTATTCGACACAGGTTGTTGAAATTTTACCTGTATACTTTGCTACGCCCAGTTTTTTTAGAAAAAGTTATGGCCTTCAAACAAGTTAAGGTTTTGAAACTTAAACCGTTTTTTGGAAGTTTCTCGAATTTACTCGAAAATTTTGGGAATCTTCTTTTTACGGTCTTCGGAAAATCAAGGTTTTGAACTTTGACCGTTTTTTTTAGAAACTTCTAGAATTTTCTTAAAAAGTACCCTTTCAAATCTGAATGAAAAATTCAATCGAAAGAAGCGGAACTGGCTACTCCTTAATTTTTTGTTAGAAAAATGTCTTTGGGAAAATTCCAAAATCTCAAAATACGCATTTCGTCCCGCATCAGTATAACAAATTCAAAAAAATATCAAACACGTACTTCCAGCTTTAGCTGGGCCCTAGGTGTCCTTCTTCAAAAGATATGAAAGTTTTGGTTCACCTAATTTTTGTCAGCTTTTTTCATTTTTTACATGTTTTTTTTATGATTGCGTTGTATCACAAGTGGTGCAAAGCTGCGCTTACCCTCTGTGTCAAATTGGGTTAATTTTATGGTTCTTTTCCACTCGAACCCCCATCCCCCACTACCTTGAAGTTCAATTTCAGTTTTTGCTCCTGCGACAAGCAATGGTATTTTAATCTCGTACTGGATTTTTTTTTCTGGTAAATAGCTTTGTTCACGGAATGGCCAATTTTATAAGAATGGTAAATTTCAAGATATGCTCAATTTCTTGAAATATCAAAAAAACTACTTCATCTAGGACTTAAAAGGTGGAGTATTTTTCGGGCAAAAATAATTTTTTCGCATTCGTGGTTTTCGGCCTAGTTTCGTCGGTTCATTTTCCGTTTTTTGAAATATTATTTACGTTATCTGGTATTAATTTTTAGTGGCCTTCTTTGTAAAGCATGGATTTAAATTGATTCTATTTTTTTCTACAATAATTGAAATCTCTTTAATTTTTCATTTTACCAAGTCTGATTTTAAATATTTCTATTTTTAAAATCAGACTTGGCTCAATCAACTCATTTTTTGTAGTTTTGACGGTCAAAAAATCCTGTTGCACAAAATTCCTGTTTGATAAAAACAGGTTTAATAAAATTGTATGGAATCGTTTTTTTATTTTCTTTTTTTGAGACGCTTTGGAAAAAATTTTTGCGTTTCTCAAAAAATTTAGTTTTTCTCCAACATTATTCTATCGGTTTTCAAAAAAAAATGGTCTCAAGGGAAAGACCGCCCATTTTCCTGTATGCCTGCAGAATGCCTGTCTCTTTTTTTACCTTGCCCCACTTTTACAGCTTTCAAAAAAAGTTTGACACACATGTTTGAAATTTTTACTTTTTCTCGAAAACTGACACAACAAATCTGAGATTTCGTTTTCAATCAAAAGAAGGAGTTGTGGTAAGCTCCCCTGCAATAGCTGACCGTTTTTTGAAACCTTTAGACTTTCCTCAAAACTACCCTCCCCAATCTGCGATTTGTATTTCAATCGAATGGGCGAGTTGTGAGAAGCTTCCCTGCAGTAGCGGCTGCGCCCAATTTTTTTAAACAAAAAGTTATGGCACTCGGAAAAGTCACTACTTCTATTTTTTGACCGATGTTTGAAACTTTTTTTACTTTCCTGAAACCACCCTCCCAAATCTGAGGTTTTGATTTCAATCCAAAAGACGAGTTGTGGAAATCTCTCTTGCTTTAGCAGCTATGCTCAAAGTTTTCTGAAAAAAAACTGGCCATCAGAAAAATCATATTTTCGATTTTTTGACCGTTCTTTGAAAATCTTTGTTCTCAAAATTGACTCAGTCGAAGCTGACATCAAGGGCTTAATCGCGGCAACAGGTTGTGGGAAGCTTCTGTGCATACGCGGCTATGTCCTAAAATTTGTGCGAAAAATGATGTCTTTCGGAAACTTCTAAATTCTCAAAAGAATTCACTCTTATCTTTTTACAGAAACCTTTAAGGTTCAACAACCAATGATGCCCATGTTTTGAATTTTCCTTTTTATCCCTCATCATTACCACAAATGAAAATTGTCATACAGGTAGCTTCAGCTGGGCCCTAGTCAGGTGTTATGAAAGTGTATGGTATTGGTTTTTTTTTTCAATCTATTATATATTTAAATGCGGGCTTCACTATCTCGCCATGTTTAAGCCTTTTCAACGTATTATTTTTGCATGTTTAAGCTATATCGTATATTGCAATGATTAAGATTTTTTTTCGAATTTCCAGTTTCCTTTTAGTGATCATTTTACCGAGTTTAAATTAAGCAGCCCAATATCGAATAGAGGGTTGCGAATTTGGCCTCCAATTTTGAATGCCCGAATCATTTTAGTTAACGAGAGAAGACGATTTTTGATAATTTTTAAAAAAAATTTCAGAAATATCAAATAACAAAAAAAAATTACATAACTTGAAGTTCCCAACCCGGTAGTTGGGTACTGTCAGAGTACTATCAAGGATTGCGAATCTTGCCTGCAAATATGACTGCTCAATTCTTTGTAGTTTTCGAGATATGATGTTTTTGTGATTTTTTCAAAAATTTTCAGAAAACTTCAATCATAATGATTTTTTAAAATGTGAAATTCCCAACCCTGTAGTTGGGTACTGTCAGAGTACTATCAAAACTTTTGAATCTTGCCTCCAAGTATGACTGCTCAATTCTTTGTAGTTTTCGAGATATGATGTTTTTGTGATTTTTTCAAAAGTTTTCAGAAAACTTCAATGATAACGAATTTTTAAAAATTTGAAATTCCCAAACCTGTAGTTGGGTAATCTCAGAGTACTAGCAGGGATTGCAAATCTTGCGTCCAATTATGACTGCTCAAATCCTTGTAGTTTTCGAGATATGACGATTTTTGTGATTTTTCAAAAAATTTTCAGAAAATTTATAATTATTTTTTTTTCGCAAAATCTGAAATTCCTAACCCTGTTGTTGGGTCCTGTCAGAGTACTCTCAATGATTGCGAATCTTGCCTCCAAGTATGACTGCTCAAATCTCTGTAGTTTTCGAGATACGATGTTTTTGTGATTTTTTCGAAAATTTTCAGAAAACTTCAATTATGATTTTTTTCAAAAATCTGAATTTCCCAACCCTGTAATTGGGTATTCTCAGAGTACTATCAAGGATTGCGAATCTTGCGTCCAAGTATGACTGCTCAATTTATTGTAGTTTTTGAGATATGACGATTTTTGTGATTTTTTCAAAAATTTTCAGAAAACTCAAATTATGATTATTTTTTTAAAATCTGAAATTCTTAAACCTGTAGTTAGGTCCTGTTAGAGTACTATCAAGGATTGCGAATCTTACCTCCAAGTATGACTGCTCAATTCTTTTCGAGTTGTGACGTTTTTTGTGATTTTTTCAAAATTTTCGGAAAGTTTAAATTAATTATTTTTCAAAATTTGAAATTCCGAACGCTATAGTTTGGTGTTGTCAGGCTACTCTAAAGTGTTGCAAATCTTGCCACATGCGACTGCTAAACCCGACTTCTCAAATGCTTTTAGTTTCCGAGATGTGACGTTTTTTGATTTTTTGAAAATTTCTCAAAGAACTTATCTACAAAGAAATTCAAAAAATTTGAAACTAGCTTGATGAAGATACAATCTTATTGTCAGCGTACACCCAGGCGTCTCAAATCTTGCCTCTTAATATGAATGCTCAAGTCCTTTTAGTTTCCGAGATAAGACTTTTATTTTTCAATTTTTTTTTTCGGAAAAT